AAAGCTGGTTTAATACATATTTATTTTACATACTTAGTATAGAATTTTGTTTTACGTACTTAATATGGAATGCCTGAAAGACATTTGAACGAGTACTTTATAACATGCCACGTTCTTATTATTTCACCACAGAAGTTATCATATACACTAATCACTCTGATTTAATTATAAACGCAGCTGTATGTGAATACGGTGGCTATATTTTTAGAGTTAATTACCACTATAGGTCATTGCTTTTGATTTATAAATGGACATGACACCTTCTCTTTAGTGTTTTTGTTCCAACTTACTTTTGATGTATTTTGAGCTTACAGTTTGAGGTACTGAATACACACATTTTAAGGGATGACTCTAAAGACCCAATCTGTAGATAAATACCCATTCTTCTACTTTTAGTATAATTGTCAGTATTTTCAAGTTTCAACTTCTAATATTCTCATAATAATTTGAAACATATTATGATTGGCTTCACTCTATATGTTTATGTAAGAAACAGAACATTTAAGCTTATAAAGTCAACAGTAGTATTACAATGAGGTTTGTTAATTTAATTAAAAATCCGTATCTGTAGTACAGGTCGTGTGGGTATGAAATGGGAATTCAATGTGGTCATTTCTATGATAACCTCAACCAAAAGAGTTGCTAAAAATTTACAAAACAATTAACAAAAAATAGTTTTAACTAAAAGTGATAGATAAACTACAAAACTTTATGAGACTCTGCAACCTTATGTCATCGTTTAGGTACTCTCGCTGCTAGTGATGTTTTCAACCCTAAACTGAAGAAATCTTGATGAGAGTGGGCTTGATTAGCTAAAGTACTAAGTATCAAAGCAGATCTGTTTCATGTAAAGCTTCATGTACCATGCCTATCACTTTGGTAAATGTTGTTTCTCGTATTTAAGTAATTCAATATTATATATTAAATCTTTCTAATATTCTAAATAACTAAAATACATATTTCACTAATTAAATTTAGTATTTGACTAATTCCGGCTATAAGTTCGAGTCCAACAGAATAGTAGCACAACCTGTATGTACATGATCATGCTGTATCTGGTCAAATTCTGTTTGATTTAATTTTCTAGCGTATTAAAGAGATTTTTGTTAAAACAAGTTTGCTAGACTTGAAATGAAGAGGGAATTTCATGAAATCTGAGAAAGGTCAGAGATAACAAACATTATATTTTCGTTGCGTCTTGTTTTTATTTTAGTATTAGATCTAACGAAAAAAATTCTAACTACCAGATACTGTAAAACTTTTGCAGTTAGATTAATATAGCTAAGTTAAAAAAATGTAATGTTGTTGAAGCAACTAATAAACAATTAATGTGAAATAATAGCTAAAATACTTTATTTAATAACTTTGGAAGGTTTCATATATTGGCCTCTTATTACCGTATCGACAACATCAACGGAAAATAGTTTTTAGAACTAAGTATTAAAACACTACGTAAGTAAGTGAAACAGGTTTAACAAAAAATATTCAAAGAAATAAAATGAAATAGATTTGTATAGTTACTCCAGGTTAATTCCATGCTTTTAATTTGATATTTTATCACAATGCAATAAAATTACAACCACTCTTAGATTTACAAAGAACTTTTATTCCACTGTAAGTTCTAATACCACAGATTTGCTACATTTAATACAGAAATTTTGATAATATATGATATTAGTTATTTTTTCACATAGTGCAAGATAATATTTTTTATCTTTTTTTTTGCAAAGATTACAGTTTTTTCATTACGTAAAATAATGCTAACTCATTTTTATAAAACTCCTCTACACGAACTGGATCTTGCACAGCTTCCCACTTCCCACTGTCCTTTAACTCGGTTATTACACTGTTGTATGTTTCCTTCTCTTGTTCCTCTTTGGGATTAATCGTTGCCCAACAGACTAAGCCTCCTATAAAGATGTATTGCACAACGGAAACTTACCAAGTTGACACTTATAAAACATTACCCAAAACATGTTTAAAGAGGGATATATGTACAGTCATTTTTTTTTCGTGCTTGGAGTAATAAGAACAATTTTTTTTATGAGCAAGAAGAAGAAAAAAACTTGAGCAGATTTATGATAACGATAAGAATTGATATTTATTATAGTAAGAATATAGTAGCCTTTCGCTGTATTATAAACATCTCCCAGTCGTTTATCTCTAGGAACTTCTACAAGGCTTTAATAGGGTTATGTTAATTTTAACATGTAAAGAAAAGACAGCGTAAACACGGCATTTATCTTACCTTGATGATGTTTTAACACAAAGAAATAAGTTTAAAGACAAAACACATAAATAAAGCGAAAGATTATACAAACTATGATTATGAAAAGAGTAAGTTGTATCTTAGGTATAGCAGAGGTATCTGTATAATGCGGCGGCATTGGCTACCAAATTTGAGTTATGCTAGCAAATGTCACGTCTAAGGAATGAGGTACACAAAGAAACTAAAACATAACAGTAGATATAAGTACTAAGTCTACAATATATCACACACACACAAAACCACCATTCACCGTCTGAAGTCACTGGTGGGAAATAATTTATTGTTGCTTTATTAGCATACTGTGACTATCTAGCTCTACCTCAGATCAATCTGATTTAGGCTTAGATTAGTTGTGGAAATCAGCATAAAATAATAAACTATGACTCTTACTTCTACATATTCGTACAACAAAAATATTTTATTTCAAAGTTTTTTTGTTAATAAAAAGTTTCTGATACTTAAACAAAATCAGATGCTAGTCAATTCCTAAAACTTTCAGAGGTATTAATTTAAGAGGTAATGTTGTAGGTCTCAAAATACTGAATAAGGATTGTCCATAGTTTTAAGATATTACTAATTAGAATTAATAATTCTATTGAAGGGATTTGAAGTACTTTTTTTCGACATCACTTTAGAATAACACAAATAATATTTATATTATCACTGATGTCTTTCGGCATATAACATATCGGTAACACAACAAAGTCTAATGGAAAACATACCTTGTTTTACCATGGTAAGAATGTCATGAAATGCACTGTATGGAATATGTCCTATACCAATTCCTCCACAAGAAACAGCTATATCGTAGGTACCTACAGATATGCAAATTATGGAGTATTCAACAAATTTATGAGAAGTACAATGATTGGCAAAATAATTATAAACTTACTAATCTACGATTAATTCTAAAACATGTCTAAATGGCACGAGTCCAATCAGAAAAATATAATCAGGAAGAAATGGCTAAATCAATACAAATTTGAGTAAACATGACACATTTCATATGTATTAAAAATTATCCCATAAAACTTTAAGTTCTGGTGAAAACAGAACATAAGATGAGATTAAACTTTCATGATACTTGTACGATTTCATAGTAAGTGTAGTCGCTACTTTAGGTTTTGGTGTACACGAAACATGGTAGATAAGTGCTAGTTATCGGAATGAATGGGATAGATCTTTGGAATAAACTAGTTTTACGTTTTATTATAGTTAGTACTTTGAAATAATTTTATCCAACTAAAATAAACTTAGAAATTTCTCAAGAATATGGTGAAAAGGGCGGGGTTTGAGTTAGTTTTATTCCTCTCATTATTTCAGACTTTAGCATAGACATGTTTTTCTTTATGAAAACAAGCGTATAATGAGTGGGTTTGCGTTCTGGCTAATACAGATCATATTTCAAGCGTCTTTTGTCAGGCTTTATTGGGAATATAATATCATAAGCTACATAACAATAGTTATGTGTTAGGCTTTATTGGAATATAGTATCATAAGCTATATAACAATAGTTATGTGTTAGACTTTATTGGGAATAGAATATCATAAGCTATATAACAATAGTTATGTGTTAGACTTTATTGGAATAGAATATCAGAAGCTATGTAACAATAGTTATGTGTTAGGCTTTATTGGAATATAGTATCATAAGCTATATAACAATAGTTATGTGTTAGGCTTTATTGGGAATAGAATATCACAAGCTATATAACAATAGTTATGTGTTAGACTTTATTGGGAATAGAATATCAGAAGCTACATAACAATAGTTATGTGTTAGGCTTTGTTGGGAATAGACTATCAGAAGCTATATAACAATAGTTATGTGTTAGGCTTTACTGGTAATAAAATATCAGAAGCTATATAACAATAGTTATATATTAGGCTTTATTGGTAATAAAATATCAGAAGCTATATAACAATAGTTATGTGTTAGGCTTTATTGGCAATAAAATATCAGAAGCTATATAACAACAATTATGTGTTAGGCCTTGTTGGAGATGGGACATCAGTGGGTTTATCACAGACAACATGGGTTTATCACTTTGATCCAAACATTGCACATTTATATTTATTCGAAATTCAATTTCCAATCACAGTAAAACTTATTAACAAAGACTATGATCCCGTTTATAAGAGTAAGCATATAACAGAATATCACAACCTTTTCAAAACTATCACGTATACACCGTAATTTCTTAATCACTTTAGTATGGCAACCATCGTTAATTTAGGTACCCATTATAGTTAATACAAGCTACATAAGAAGTATTTTATATAATACTAAATTTATTGTTTAACACCTGCCGAACAAACCAACCCAGCATCTTTTAGTACTGAGCCTAAGATGGTCAATAAGGGGGCCATTCTGGAAGCTGGTAATTTAGGGTTATTTCGATAGATTTCGATGAATGAAGCTGCCAGAACTTCTAAGACGAATATATATATTAATGGAAATATGACATAATGAAATCTATATGAATTATACTATGGTGGTATCAATACTAGACATTATATCATCCTTCTTATATTTACTCTTC